GGTATGGTCGTATGTGGAAGATGTCACTGGATTCTCGGTATATACATCAAGCAAGGCCGGCGACTTGGGGTGGGCTCCTACAGCAGACACTGGTTGTATCAGACACTGGTTTCAATTGGTCTAATTACCATCACAACAACAGAACCACTTTCAATTTCCCAAGTTACTCACTCCTCCGCTTATGATTGCTCTCCTACGACCAAGCCTGGTACTATGGCAACCACACAAGCCTTTCAACCAGCCTCATGCCGTCACACTCCAAGCAACTCATGTCATAGAAGCGATTACCCATGTCCAAATCATCAGGGTGCATTCCCGCTCTCCCCGAGTGTAGAAGAAACATTTATTGCTATGCTTTGTGAAAGCCTTGCACTGGCAGTGGTTACTGCAACGACTTTCGCAAACACCATTGAACGAGGTGAACAACACTGAACCGCGTTTTCAGTGGTTAATTGAGAAGCGCTTGGGAAGAAAAAGCTCAGGCATCTTCACCGTCACCGTCGACAACTTCTCACACGCACACGCTGGCTTCGCCCAAATCATCCGTCCAACAACGCGTTTTCCTTTAACAAAGACCGCTACTGCATTCTTCTGCGTCAGGTGATATTGTAGATTCGGAATACGATACGCCATTGCTCCTCGCATGTCGCTTGGCAGGATAAAACCACCAGCTCTGTAGGCGAACGTCCTATGACAGCCTGTACAAGTTATACCGAAGGTATAATCATATGGGTGGCAATGCGAAGTTCCGTCGCCGGCCATATTCACACCCAAAATACTTTCACTGGACCCAGGTCGAGGTTTGGACAAGTATAATGCTTCTGCAAGCCATTCGACGTTGTACTCACCTTTCATTGGCCAGCGTGTTAGATGGGATTGGTTGTAAATACTTGTCAGAGCTTGCTGAAGACGCTCTGTTTGGTTTGTCTCTTGTAAATGGTCCATAATTATTGGCGGGTTTGATCCGTGTGTCCGTTCCATACCTGCGACAAAGCTTTGAAGATCAGGCCCTTCAATGTCTAGCACAACCTTGGCTGTATTGGACAATCTTGACAAGTGGATCGGATGCTCGCCATGTACTGGCTGTTTGATGATAGATACGATGCCAATCTCCACGAGCGGTAAGGAAATAAGATAGTTAGTAGCGTCGAAACAAAGCTCTTCGCTAAAAACCGGAGGCGCAGTCTCGTGCTCGAGTTGCCAAGTGAAAACATCGCAGTTGGCAAACTCAGACCAATGACCCGGCCCCCGAACTTCAATTGCTCCCATGTAAGGCGTCATGAGTAGAGGAGACATATCGTGCCGCTTCAGGCACTCCCAGGCAAGCCGATAATACTCCGTCTTGAAATCTGAGCCACCCACACTCGAATGACCTACTGGAACAACGATTCCTCTCAAAGCGTGAAGGAAGTCCATGCGGTCTCTGCACCCTCTCTTGCAAAGGAGAGCCGAACCCATTGCGAAGTTGACCATTCTGAGGGACTTGGCCAATCGCACTGATGATAGACCGAGACTCCAGGGGACACGATTCTTCCCCATTTCTACCTTTCTCTCTAAGACATGTACAAATCTATGATGTATGGTCTCGTCGACCCAAACTGCATAGAGACGGTCTATGAACGCTGCATCGTCATTGTTGGCGAGATAGTTGCCTGTGCCAACCATCATTCTCACACGACCACTTCTGATAAGCTCCATTGCTGTCCAGATACGCGAGAAATATTTTGAGTTGCAAACTTTAACAACAGCATCCAATCGCTCATCAGTCCGGCTTTCGGAGTAGAGATGCTGGATTGAATCTGGGCTTATGTCGCCCAAGTGGAGAATGGTGGTTTCTGCGACATAGAAGAGTTCATGCATAATGGAAATGATACCATCTCGCAGCGTATCGCACCATTGAGGTACGCTCAAATAATCGAGCCAGACTTCACCAGCTTCTTGGCCAGAATTCTCGATGCCATTGTAAACATTGAACGATATATCCACGACTTTGCGGGCGGCCTCTTCAGTCTGTGGTATAGTCTTGCGCTGCTGTTGGGCCATGGAGATGCTTGGGTCCCAAACATGGCTTACTGCAGAGAACTTAATTTTGTTGTCTACCACACAACTGAAATGGCGATCGAAGAAGAGTATGGTGGCGTGACGGGTAGGTACTTTGCTACTGTACCCCGTTTGTTCATGATCTGATGCTACCATGCGAAAGGTCCGCATTAGAACGCCGCTGGTGAATGGCTCTTGACATGACAAGCAGTGTAAATTGTCTGGAGTAGGCTCGCGCCATAGCTTCTCCAGAAGCAGTGCACCTTCGAGATAAACTTCAGTTGGATGCATGGTGATTGCTGGTGGAAGACAGTCATGCGGACACGAGGGACTTTTAAGCTTTACGTCTAAAGTAAGCAAGGCTCAGGTAAAGGTGTGATCACTTTGCAACGATAGGAGGGTCAGGGTCACGTTGGCAACTTATGGTTACACAATATTGGAAGCTGGATGTGAGGGGGGTTTCAATATTGGTGCCCTCAGTATGCATGGCTCAGGCGAAGTCATGATCGCTGCGATAACAGTGGCGGATAATCATCACATTGGCATCTCAACGCTACACAAAACTGGCACAGTAAGAATTTGAACTTTTTTTGTTTTGTTTTTTTGTTTTGGATATATGTTAGACTAGATGGTAGTTGAGATGCGAAAGTCGAGCCATTGGAGAGCCGATGGGTCATCCACTTGGCTTTAGATGTGAAAAGATCAGCTTGAATGCAACCTGAGCTGACATAAAGTGTCTGAGTCAGTTGATGCAGGAGGCTCTCAGTGGCCAATTTCTCAGTGTCCAGAGCTTGTGTTGATAGTTCCTGAAGTTTTAAGCATTATGACTCCACTGCTCACAAGACATTTTTTCTCTTTCGCCCTGCGTTGAGAATGTCTTCCCTCACCTGCTTGTGGCCTTTTCTCCTTCTGATGCTGATGGAGGAAAGCGAAATTGCCTGGAAGTGAAGAAAGGCATCTTGCCTTTCGTCAAAACCCTTGACCTAGGGCAGGACAAAATGAGATCTCATGTAAGCATTAAAGGTGGAGGGAGCCATGCTGCTTCTCAGATGTAAGTTTGCTGAGAAAAACCTTACTCATCATTGTCTCCAGCACGACTGTGGGAGTCATGATTTGGCACATATGACAGAAACTCTCTGTTTCCAAAGAGACTCTCCATGTACTTCATACGGGAGTCTGGAAAATCTTTTGCGAAACGCCCCTCCCGAGCCTCGTCCAAGAATCCTTTCTTCGTGAGTGCGTCGACATACTGACTTCTGACTTTCCTCTTAGCCTCAGTCTTGGCATTGTGCTGCTCCTCCAGACGGTTCATTTCCTCCATCAAGGGCGTGGGGTTCATGCGGTTCAGATAGACATCTACCATGAGGCGTTCCTTTTCCTCCTGTACGACATGGCAATCGCGGTTGATAATGCAGTCTCTAAGTAAGTCTGACATGAAGAGGGAAGCCTTGTCACAGGCCTTGTTCAATTCCTCCTTGGTGAGCTCATGGAAATCCAGCCATCTCTTGAGTTCTGATAGCTCAAAGTCTACGCCATCAAGTCGGTTCCGAGCCATTAGAACAGCTGCCGACGCAACTGCTTCCTCGGAGGTCGCTTTCGCCAAAGCGAGGCCCGTCTCCGTGCATTCGGCCATCACCGTCTCGTACAAGCGGTCTTGACGCTCCTTTGCCTTTACTGATGGGCCATTAGTAATGCTGGCGTTAGAACCCTTCTCTTTTACCGATGTATCGTTGATGGAAGAGGTTGCAGGTTCTTTGCCCTTTGCCGATGGCGGATTGGTGGCACCAACTTCAAATTCCTTGTCTCTCATAAACAAATCGTAGGTAGGCTCTTTGTCCTTTGCTGATGGGCCATTGTCCACACCAGCTTGAGATTCATAGTAGTGGCGCAGGATCTTCGTGTACTTTGACTTCGCGTCCATCATACAGACGCGTTGTCGTTCCTCGTAGATTGACATCATCTCCTTGAGTCTGGTGCTCTGACGCCAATTTCCGTCTGCTGACTGGCTGTTGTCCGCAGCGGCTTGAGTCTCTTCCTGGGACTTCTCTGATATCATCTTGAGCAGCTCTGACTTGACTTCATTGGCTTTGAAGCGTTTATCCACGCCAGCGAGCATGAACTCCTTGAACGATGTGTATTCGGGCTGCTTTCCGTTTGCTATCAGGGCATTGCTTTCAGCAGCTGCAAACTTGTTGAAAGCCTCCTCCATCGGCATCTGATCGTTCAAAGCAACCAAATGGCTCAAAAGCTTCCCATGCGCTTCGAGTCTAGTGAGTGTATCCACTAACTCGCTGCACCGCTCATGCCAGGAGCCTTGACGCTCCTTTCCTTCTGCCGATGGTGGATTAGTGGCACTAGCTTCCAACTCCTTGTCTCTTGTTGACAAATCATTGGTAGAAGACGCCGCAGGTTCTTTGCCCTTCGCGGATGGTCCATTGGAAGGACTGGATCCGGGTACAGCGCCAGAATTGGTGGGAGCGCTACGGAAAGGGAGACAGCCGCGGGGAAATGGCGATTTCTGTCCCGATAAACTAGCCGGGAGAAGAACTCTTCCAGAGCTGGAGACACAAGATGAATCGCCTCGAGGCATCGGGCTAGGGGAGGACATTGTACCCTGAACGGGATTAACAACCTCTTCTACCCTATCTGATGCTGTTGAGGATGTGGATGACATCTTTGCGTCGGGCATCGACCATTCGAGAGGTCCTGTAGCCGTCCGTCGGATAGGCCGCATGGGAACAGCATTGGATGTTGATGGCGCGGGGTTCAGGTGGAAGTCTCGAATCATCTGAACAAAGGGCTCGGGGATAGGTTGGTCGGGAATCGGCTTGCTCATCAACAGAGCGTGGGCGAAATAAAGAGAGTAAAACCCAGATTCCATCCTGTCCGACTTGGGACACTCCTATCATCTGTTAGCATATGAAAGTACAGAGCAGAAGGGATAAGAGCGTACCATAGGCTTAATCGGAAGGTCAGGACACCCCTGTTGATGGAAGGTTGCCTTTACAAGGCTTTGAACCACGGCAGGGCACGTGAAGTCATCGAGGCCTTGGGGGTCGTAGTGGGCAATGTAGTGTGGCAAATTTCTGTCCCAGTGCAAGAGCGAGTAGGACGCTAATTCACCCACAAGGAACAGAGTGTGCCGTCCGTACCATACCGCACGAGGGTCATCCCCCAAAACGTGGAGGAGTGTAGGAGTGAATAGAAACCCATCGATAGGAGCCCTGGGATCGTTGATTGCCAATGCCCCTTCCTCAATATCATCCAAGTCTAGCGCCTCCCGATTCCTGATCCTGCAGATAGTTCTTACAGTCGGGGCCGGATATCGGAAAAATCGAAGCGTTGCCTCTGGGGATGCCGCGATAAGGGGATTGGGCCCCATCTCGGTCTTCCTCTCCGGAAAGGATCGGTTGTCCATTGCGGGACTCTTGCTGCTGCTTAGGAATGAAGGGGTATCGGGGACACGCATGTCATAAGTTCAGAAGTCGCCTTTCTCAGGTGCTGCTGAACTTATATTTCGATGTGCTTGGGGTAGTATAAAACCTGCACCTTACTCTCGAGATGCATGCCTTTTATAATGCTTCAGAACCCTAATCTTTGGACCAGACCGGCTCCAGCTAAGGTTGACATTAGAAAGAAGTTTGAAAACGATCTGTTACTTTCTACTATGATCTGGAATAGGCTGAAAGAGGCAGTCCGAGCTCTATCAATCAGGAAGTGCAGGATGTCATTATAGTGAGCCACGATGGCATGGACACTTCATTGCCCTAGGTAACCGGCGCCTCGCGCCGTTTCATTGGCGAGGCTGTCAGCCGGAGACCCGGAAATGAAGTCACAATACACCGATTGTATCAGTGTGAAACTGGCCATCGAGTTGGATGTAGGCTTGTGTTCCTTTTTTGGGGGTTTATTGCGTGGGGTTCTGGAGAGCTTCAAGCGACGTGGAATCGAAGGGCCAATTAAATGCTGTCGGTACAATGGATCCAGAAAACTTTCTAAGTTATCAATTGCTTCCATAAGATTCGATATAAGGTAAAACGACCATGCTCCAGAACTATAAAAGCTCTGCAGGTCACCCGAGAGGTCCAAATCCTAACCTAATTCGCATGCCTCATACGTTTTGTCCGATACTGCGACGTATTCACAGTAACTAAGTTTTTCTCGCTCGTGTTATCGTCACTGGCTGTCGTGGTCCTCATCTCAAATGACTGCTCCACCGTGATGCCCTGGTCGATGCCCTGGAGGGGATGCCGTGGCCTCGGAGGGGAATAGTCTGGTGGCTGAAGACTATTGCTGCGGTCCGACTTCGATGATTGGAGCGCGAGCAAGCTCGGGAATGCTCGGGAGAATAGGGGTTTGAGCGAGGGGACGCAGGCGCACATGATGGCGATGTTGCATTCGAGACCGGACCATATCGCGATGTCGACGCCCTTGGCTGGGGAAGGTTAGCATTCACAATGCTAAGTTGGGAAAATACTTACCTGGTCGTTGTGTAATAGAGACTGAGCTGTAGGCCCAAAGCGAGTGCAGTCTGATGACAGCAACGATACAAGCACTGCGTCTAATCAGTATCTTATCTCTGCGATAACGGAGAGGACTCACACTGCACCAGCGGCAAACACGCCCATCAGAACGAACTTGATCCGCCTCTCAATTTGTAGATTACGTAGGAACGGCATAGGCGCTACGAGCAGCGTGATATCGTTGACAATATTGATCCCAGCAAATGCATATCGCAAAGCTCTATTGTCAAGACATTTTCCTGGCATCGAGTCATCCCAGTACTTCGCGATAGGATCGCAGGTGAAGACTGTCAGCATGAGACATAACATCCCGTATACGGCGTAGAATACGATGAGACTGATGAAGAGTCGGCGGGCGGTCCGTGTAGTAAATATTCGGAGGCATTGGAAGGATATGGAGAGCTTGATGGCGAGATGGCAGATGGTGTACGAGATGACGCTCGCCGTCGTCGCTTGGATGATCGAGGAGAGGAGTTTTGGGTTGGGCGGTAGGCCGAGGCCGAATTTAACTTCTACTCATTTTGTCAGGACAATGTAATGTCGGAAAGGTGAGTACTCACGTTGCATAACAGCAATCAAGAATCCAAGAGTACCCAGCTAAAGATGTCAGTCGGAGTAATAACATGGCGAGACAAATCCCAGACACCCACATCCGCAAGAATGATGAACAGATCATCAACGCCAACATTTCTCAACAAACAAATCCTCGTTATAAATCTCAAGATGACAAAAACCGTAGCGAGGACAGTGAACAAGAACCCAAGGACCACCAACGAATGGCACTCTTCAGGCACAAAAATGTCGGCAACATACATGGTTACAGCATTTCGGAAAATTGGGAGAAGAAATTGACGTGTCCGTCAATTGACAGATACATCGGGGCTTTATTATGTGGCCTACCTCCTGTCAGAATTTGCCTGCCTGCTCACATTCTCCCTTCACCTCTCAGACATGACCTCAGAAATACAGCGTCTGACCTTGTATCTGAACACCAGCTGCCGCGAAGGCTTGGAAAGTGGCGGATATAAGAGTATTTGTGTGGTCATCTCATGATGTTTTATGCAAGGGATTTTACAATGTCTTTGATCAAGACTCATTGTAGAAGCGATCAGCACGGCTTGAAAGATGACTTGTCTCGTTCAGGTTAGATAAGTAAGCAAAGGTGCCCTTGTTTGAAGTTTTGCTGCGCCTGGGTGAAAACGAAGGATCGCTGCTATTAAAATTGCGAGGTGACATTCTGACACAGCATCGGATGGTCCCAGCCCTACTCGCGACTGGGAAGCACGGATCCGAACGCCTTCGGAAATTGGTTGGGAGCTTAAATGCGAAAAACCCCAGCTTTTCCAGCCTTATTCTCGGCCAAGCTTTTCCGGGTCAATCCCACCCACCCGTCTTGCCGTGTCTTGGACTCTGCCCCTACTGTTTAAGTCTGCCTGCTGTCATTAGTCCCCGGGGCCTTTTCTCCGATACCTCATCCTTAAAGGGTACCATGCAGATAGTAACAATGCATGTTGGTTCAGTCAGAACAAGACAATTGCATAGAGAACAATGTCGACTCGGTCTTGACTGCTGGATGTCGCCAGAACAGCAGTCTCAATTTCCCCAGCTCCACTTTGAATCCTTCAGACATCTACCGACAATGCGGTCCAAGTCTTTATCGTCGTTTAGATAAGATAAACTTCAGGCACCGGCCCGAGCGTCTGTCACATCAAGGGGCAGTGTAACATCGTCCAGAGAATAGCGCTTACTACCAGACCAATGCGCCACTAAGACTGACAGTAAACCACGCGAAGGATTTGATTGCACAATGCGGCCTTGACTGTTGAGCCGTTGGGAATTTCTTTAAATGGATTGCATGACCCTTACATCAAGTCTTTTTTGCCATGTTCTTCACCACGTTCTTTTAACTACATTCTTTTATCAACAGTCATTACAATGAAGTTCTTGTCAGTTTTTAGTCTTTCTTTAACCGTCGCTGCTTGTAAAAGCACGCCTCCACCAGCCAAGTCGGCCAAGGTGGATGTTCATTCGCATTTTGTTCCGGATTTCTATGCTGAGGCTTTGAAGGAGGCTGGCCATGTTCCTGGTCCCGATGGAATGCCCGGTACTCCCGTGGGTATATCCAATTGATAGTGATGAGGTAAAGGCTGACTTGTACGTGTAGAGCTGGGATGCCGAGTCTCATCTGGAGTTCATGAAGGAGAACAACATTGAGCGATCCATTCTCTCAATTTCCAGCCCTGGTGTCTATCTCACTGTTCCTTCCAAAGATGCTACCAAGAAGGCCATTGACCTCGCCCGCAAGGTCAACGATTACGGATCTGAGGTCAAGGCAAAGTACCCTAAGGAATTTGGGTTCTTTGCGTCTCTCCCTCTGCCCGATATCGAGGCATCGCTGAAAGAGATCGAGCACTGTTTCAACGAGCTTGACCCCAAGCCTGACGGCGTCGTCATGATGTCTAACTACTACGGTCTTTACCTTGGTGATCGCGATCTCGAGCCTATTTACGAGGCACTGAATGAGTACAATGTTACAATCTTTGAACATCCCACCACTCCCTGCACCCAATTCAACGGTCTCCGATTTGACATCGACAAGGACGCGCCGGCCATTTCCCAACAGCAGTGGCAAGCCCTCAACCGTCCCCTCGCCGTCCGTCAATTCGCCGCTCCCACACTGGACTTCCCCTTCGAAACAGCCCGCGCATTCGCAGATCTCTTCTACACCAGCATGCCCACAAAGTTCCCCAATCTCAAGTGGATCATGTCGCACGCCGGTGGTGGTCTCATCCCCACTCTCGACCGCATCATCACCTACAGCTCTCTCTACCCTGGCCTGAATCTTACCGAGGAGTCTCTGAAGGAGACGCTTTCCACCAACTTCTTTTTCGATTTGGCAGGACCTTGGCCCGTGAACTTTGCCATTCCTTCTTTGTTGCGCTGGGTGGATTATACCAGGATTGTTTGGGGATCGGATTATGTTTTTACGCCCGCGAAGACCGCGGCTAAGTATGCTGCTGCTTTTGATGAGCAGGTTGATGGCGCGTTGGGTGATGTTGTTAAGGGAAATGCTGTGCGCGCGGGTAATGCCCGAAAGCTCTTTGGGTAAACTTTTGAGCAGATCTATACTGTTGCAATGAGCGGGGGAAATCGGCATCTAATATCCATGTATTAATACGCTCTGTTAAGGACAAGCTTTATCAGATCATGACCCGTAAATATAACATGCTGGTAGCTCAAATATGAAACTATTACTTGAATAACCGACGGGAGACGACGATTGGTGGAGTTTTTAGCACCATGACCTCGGTCCTCATGCGAGGAACAGTAGTCTTGGCAAGATGCTCGGATGATAGTCCACCGGGATTGCAGGATTTGGCCGGGTAAATTGACTTCAACGTGGTATTATGCGGGGTGATCAACTCCCCACAGTCGAATTCATCCACGGCAGTTGGCCATGTGGCGATGGGACTATATGCGCCGGGTAATTGGAGATGGTTATATAACTGACCATGTCGGCCCAGGTTTCTAGGGAGTTCTCGTTGATAAACACTTTTTGCGTTACCCAGCCAGTCATCATGAAGTGAGTAGTTCGTTGGTAAAAGTTGTGATGTTAGTCAACTGACAATACAAACAGACTCGACCCTTCAAAACTCACCGCCTTCTTGGCCGCCAACTCAACAGGCGTCGGCGTTTTAGTTGTCCCCGGTGGTGGCTATAGCGTTCTCGCCAACGGTCACGAAGGACGAGAACCAGCTGAATATCTCAACACCCTCGGCATCGACGCCTGGATGCTCGAATACTCAACAGCAAGCACCATGTCTCCACCACTCTACCCCAAGCCCATGGATGAGGCCCTCGGCGCACTGGATCTCATCCGCCAACAAGCCCCGAATCTGAAGAAACTCGGTATCTGGGGCTTTTCGGCTGGTGGTCACCTTGCTGGAACAACAGCCACTACTCCCGGCACTAACCTCGACTTTGCTATCCTGGGATATCCCGTTATCACTCTCGAGGACGATTACACTCATGAAAACTCGCGATACAACCTCCTGGGTAATAAACCTACCAAGAAGCAGATCAAGGAGCTTTCAGTGCAAAACAGAGTGAACGACAAGACACCTCCTACGTTGCTTTTCCACACTTCGAATGATGATCTTGTTCCGGTTCAGAACACCTATTTGTATGCTCAGGCCATGGCGAAGCATGGGAGAAAGGTTCAGCTTGTCGTTCTTCCCGATGGAAAGCATGGAGTTGGTTTGGCGCAGAATGATCCTGTTAGAGACTGGACTTCGGAGCTGGAGCGATTTCTTAAATATTCGATCTAACTGGAATTTATTCGACCTTGGTATTCTTGTATATAAAGACATTCTGGAGTATATTTTAACTGAAAGTAGCCGTCCATGAAGGTACTTTAGCGAGTGACATGTAATTATTCCCGATTAACAACCGCCTCCACCTCCTCCTCCACCGCCACTGGCACCGGCACCACCGGCGGCAGCAACAGCGGCAATAGCACCCAGACCACTCGAACTCGCACTGTTATTCTCCTCCCTCTTTCGATACTCGTAAATACACAAGAGCGACATGACAACAGCGTACTCGAAAAGAGGACCGAGGTCCACGTTGGTCTGCAATGTACCGATAGCGCTGGATCGTAGACTGAAGGTTTGCCTCGTAAAGACAGCCATGACCTGGCCGTTCGGATCTTGAAGGTTGAAATTATTGTCGCCGAGCTTGGAAGCATGCATCCCATCAACAGCGATATTGTTATCTTTCTTCCAAGTCATGGGCATAGGCTGTCCGGTGCTTGGAAGATTGAACATGAATGTCCAACCATAGTTGTCTTCGCCGTGATGGATAAGCTCTGTCCACTGGGCGTTGGAGGGGTTACCAAGAGCAATTCTAAAAGACTTGCTGTCGCTTGGGGACGTCTTTTTTACTTCTGGGAAGAAACATTCTCCCATCGGCGCCCCCTCTGCGGAAAACGCCAGGTCGGGCTTCTTTTTTCGACTTGAGATTTGGAGGCTGTAGGTTGCTGGTCTGTCGGTGTCATCCTCAGGCGTGCACTCATAACGACTGTGGAATGAGGGTTTCGTGATTTTGTAGCGAGCTGGACCATTCGGGCGGTCCTGGTAAGGAGCTGGGGCATTGTTCTCGGAAGATTGATATATGGATTGTTTTGATGGAGGCTGGTAGTCCTGAGGCGGCAGGACGCCGTTTGGGGGGACTTGATACGTTGTAGTCATGGTGGGAGCTTGATGCAAATAATGATTGGAAAATAAGTGAACAGCTGAGATAGTCAAGTTCAGGCCCAAGGCTAATCGCAGCAGGACCAAGGCTATATATAAAATGTTTCCAACGTCTTGAATCCGATCGCACTCAAAATGGAAAGATCGCCCAGTGATATCATGCTACAGTGGAATTAGGCTTAAGGCAAGCTTGGCTAGAGACTCTGAGTGGTCGAACCAGTGAAGGATCGAAGGATCAACATTACATGGCCATCGCAGTCCTTGCCGTAAGAGGAATTTTGCTGCGCCTGTGCCGAGTAGAATGACATCAAGTGGCTGTGAGGACCAACACCATGTGGGGTTAACATGATCGTTGTCAGCCTTACCATGGAAATCTTTAAGAACAGAACATCAAGTCCTAGACGTATGAAGCTGGCAATGCCTGAAAGAGTAATTTTACTGAGACTATCGATCTGGAAAAATCTTCTACCCTATCGATTCTTTCCTTTATACTAGCATAATGTCCTGTTTCTTCAACCATTCCTCCTCAACTCCCGTCTCAGCTTCCCCATCCATAAAGCCATGCACATAAGCCGCGCAAACAACCCTGTACACGTCCCCAGGTCCCTCTTCATTCTCAATAGCTTCAGCCTTTCGCAAAATCATGGGGACTTTCCCACCATCCAGAACAGCAACAACATCACCCTCCCTCACATGCCATCTCGCCAACACAAACAATCCATTCTCGGTCATCACAAACATGAATTCTCTCAAAATAGTGTCATTGCGCACTTTAGTCATGTTTGACCCATCATCTACATCAGCATAGTCAAACCCATCACCAAGCTCGTAAGAAAATATGGAATACGACTCATGCCTGTCGCTGGCGATCTGAAAGCTGAAGACGTTGATCTCGCCTTCTCTTAATCTTTCCTGATTAGTAACATTGAGGATGTCGATCTCTTTTTGTCGGAGGCGGCGCATTCTTGGTGGAATCGTGCAGTCTTTAACTAGCGTCCTCCAGAACGCACTTATACATGTCTCGCCGGTAGACACAGTTTTGCCGTTGATGCTTGGAGCATATATATGGGCTGAGGGATTCAAAATTGTGTCTCGGTCGAAGTAGAGGTCCATGATGCCTTTGACGAGATAGTTCTTTGACGGATTTTGTAGAATTGGCTTAACCTTTCCCAAGATGGTGCCTCTCAAAGCCAAGATACGTTGATCTTTTCCAAGAAGGCGACAGGGCGTTTCGCAACATTTGAGCCCGGCTCCGAAGATGTCGCGTTGAGCAAAGATGGGTGCCACAGAATCTTGATGTTTCGCATCAAACTCGGCGACCCAAGACGGTGTGTTTCGATGACCTGCTTCTTGGAGCGCCTTATGCCCATCATTACCCTCAAACGGGTTCTGACATAGAATGTCCAGATTACCGGAGAGGTTGATCAATGCTATAGTGGTTTCTTGATAGAGCTCTCCGACTGATTTTGTATAATCAATTTCGATACCATGGTTCTCAGTGACCAAGCCAAGAAGACCAAATATCTTGTCTCTCGGATCGGTAGACTCCATCTCCCGGAAGCGGGTCACCACATCCATCAGCCCAGAATGAACATTTTCAGGTTCCCGAAAGAGCCGACGCTGGTCCTCGATGAGCTTGACCGTGACGAAGATCTCTCCCCACACTGGGAAGCTATTCTCGTGACTCCTGTACATATGAAATGCGTCAAAGTAAGGCTCATCTCTCAGTAACACCGACAATGAATCCCAGTCCAGCTCATCATCCTTGCATACAAGTGTCAGCCGCGGAGCTAGCGAGAGCTCTTGCATAACCCAAAGGCGCTTCCAAATAGTTGGTGTATCAAAGACAGCATGAAGGTGTTCCTGTGGGCCATAATCGAGGAAATAACCGTCAGAGTCATGCATATTCTGTAGACGTTTTAGAGTCTTGGAATCCTTAGCAGTGATCTTGTGCATCAGCTCCATTCCTTTCCTGATCTCTTCTTCAACTTCATCACGGAGTCTCGGGTGTGCAAGCTGACTGCTGTCAAAAGATCTTCCTATCATCGGATCTATCCAAGCTATGTCCCGCTGGCATCGAGAATAAATCTCTCGCATCAGCGCAACTTGGTGATTTCGCTCTTCCATGTCTGACTGGTTTATGCATACTGCATCGACCCACAGAGTACGAGGTTCAGTCTTTGACCGCAAATACGAAAGCGCGTACTTCAAACTTGGTGTGACGAAGAACTTTTGGTCGTTGAGAAGTATTGGTTCTGAGAAGATCGGCTCGCCCCATACATAAGAGAGGGCTTCGTAAACAGGAGCTGTTGAATCGTTTTGGGGATTCAGCTCTGCGTGGGAAAGAGAGCAACAAATCTGGTCGTTTTCGTCACTGGCAGGATGCAGAGTGAGCAGGCGAATCTCATGGCGTGCGGTGTCGAGTTGTTGGTAGATTGCGGCATACGGCCCACTGCTTGGCTGCTGGGCGACATGTTCAGGCATGGTGAAGAACTACACAAGAAAGGTCTATAACACAAGGGAAAGAAGAAATGGAGTTCGAAAGTAGCCAAGAACCGCGGAGTACGATGAGAGATCTGAAACCGATCGCAGTCAGCCTAAGGCTGAAATGGATGAGACATCCCTGGGACAAGCGGAGTAACAGGAGCTGCACAGCCCCATACACTAGAGCCGAGTAGGCAAAAAGTAAATGACTGCGGTTTGTGTGGATCGAACACACGACCTTCAGATATCACTTGGTGAAGAATGAAGTTTGACTTCAGTCTGACGCTCTCCCAACTGAGCTAAACCCGCTGACTAATTGTGACTGCGACAAACTAGTTTGAGTCTATCGAGGAAAGTGTGTTTCTAAAATTGACAATGTCATCCTTCCCCTAGCATTTCCGCTCGGGATATAATTCAAAAGATCTGTTCTAGTTGTTCTTTGAAAGATACATGATGATATTGAGAACTGAAATACCTCGCTCTGACCATATTCGCATTCCTTTCACCTCTGAGTATATCCGCCATCGACAGACAAAGCAGATCCAGTAACAAAAGAGCTCCGTCCGCCAGCCAAATACAAAACACCGTCCGCAATTTCCTCAGGCTGGCCCATTCTCTCCATAGGAACCGCCGTAGAAATTCTCTCCTGCATCGCCTTCAGAACGTCAGGATTTTTCGTCGTCATAGGTGTTTCCGTATACCCTGGACAAATAGCATTGATGCGTAGTCCACCCTTTGCATAATCCTCCGAAGCCGAGCGTGTAAGCCCAATGATGGCATGCTTTGCTGCGGTGTAAGATGTAGATAGCGGGATACCGACAAGCCCTTGAATGGAGGAGAAGTTGATGATAGATCCGCGCTGAAGATCCCTTCCGTTAATGGAGGATTTTATGCGCTCTTGCTTCAACATGACCTTGGCAGCAGCTCTCAGCACGAAAAATGTGCCATTCAGGTTGATGTTGAGAACACGGTTCCAGTCGTCAGTTTCAGCGAATGCTGCTCCGCCTTTGTGCTTTATCGCAACACCAGCCGCGCTTACAACGTAGTCAATACGGCCAAAGTTTCGGACCATGTCGTCGACGATTTCATTGATGCGGTTTTCGTCTGTGACATCTGCAGGGTAGAGCTCAATTCGGAAATCTTTGTTAGGTGAAAGGTTTTGTTGTTCTATCTCTGTCTTGACGACTTGAAGAGCTTCGAGACTGAGATCTATAAGGGCGATGCCGGCGGAGCCTTCTCTGGCAAAGGCTTTGGCACAGGCGCGGCCGATTCCTGAGGCACCTCCTGTAATCAAAGCGAAGCCGGGGACATCCATCGCGTAGTTAGATGATGGTGATAGTATGAGTGCAGTTGATCAATAGAGAATGTGAATAATGTGGTTTGCAATATTGAACGAATTGGTTATTAGAAGAGCTGGTCTTATACTGTCTGATATCAACTTTCTCCATGTTGTAGCATTTTCTGGATGTCTAGCTATTGGTTGCCCGATATCCGAAGCTAGTCTGGCAAAGCTTGCCCTCTTCGTCAACACCGGCTCGGTATCTCTCATGTGCCCCACTAAGATCAGCCACCAGATATAACTTTCCTCTTTAAAATGCGGGGTTGGCATGATAACGGTTCAAGTGCATGAATTGCAATGTGGAACAAGGAGTGATTGCTTGATCCATGTGTTTCAACGTACAGCAACGTGTCGAGCATTCACCGGCCACACGATAAAGAAGAGGCCTTGGCAATGTAACTGCCGAGGCCTTGGAGACTACCCTATAGCCATGCCCGTGTTCGGCGGCCTATCAACAACAAGAAGGACAATCGACAACATTGAACAGAGTCGTTGTTCATGGCACTGGACATATGTCAATAGAACAGGCACCGCGTCGAGCTTAAGAATGATGTTGGAGATTTTACTTCTGTTAGTGGCTCTTATATGGATTTGTAAATCATCGGCAGACAATTGCAGCTCTTACGAACACACTTAGTGAAGAATGTGCAGGTGTAAACTGACTCTCAATTGAGCAAATCAACAAAATAACCGTGATCTAAGAAAACAAAAGACCCTGATACCCCGTCTTCTTAACCTCATTACATCGTCGGCGGTACTCAATCGTACTACCACTGTACCGTGCAACACTTCTAACACTCTTGCCCTTGACATTCTTATTCACACCCGTCATCCAGCTATCAATCTCATTCACCAAAGTCTGACTCTCACTGCACTTGACGACATGCTCAGTCCACTTCTCGACAGCCTCCTCAGTAGGCTCAACAGAAGTATACCCGTTATCCTTACAGTACTGTAGTAAGTCCGTGATAACCTGAACAGCGTGCTCGATGCTGCGAGTAGCATTCCCGAAGGGTTGGTGAGGACCAAGAACCATGAACATATTCGGCATGGAAGGTACCGTAAGGCCGAGGAATGTTCGTGGTCGATGATCAAGCCAGATTGCGCTGTCGGCTTTGGGACTGTCGCTGGTGGCGATCAATGGACGGTCATCCTTGCCATGCCAGTCTATAGCGCTGAAAGCGCCAGTGATGGCGTTGAAGCCAGTAGCGCAGATCAGAACGTCGAGTCTGCGTTCCTTCCCATCGGAGGTCAAGATTCCAGATGGGGTAACGCGATCAATGGGTGATTTCTGCAAATCAACGAGATGAACGTTGGGTTTGTTGTACGCCTCAAAGTAACCACTCTCAAGCGGCACCCTCCGCGTTCCAAAACCATGATTCTTGGGAATAAGACTCTCAGCAACGGCAGGATCGTTGACACGCTGCCTGATCTTGTCCGCCATGAAGTTCGAGTATAGACTGTTCGCATAACGATCGGTGTATGTGTCCGAGAACACACCTAGCCACTTTCCAAAACCAGGTTCATTGTACAGTTTCTCCCATAGCTCGAGACGCTCTTCCTCAGTAACTTCGAGCGACTTTCGTGGGTCGGCTTTGTGCACGAAACCAGATGTGCTCTCAGAACAAATTTGGAACACCTTGTCGTAGTTCTTCTTATGCTCGGCCATGTCCTCGAGTGTGATTTCGGAATTTCGGAGCGGTGCAGACCAGTTGGCTGTGCGTTGAAAGACTCTGACTGACTTGATGCTGGGTTCTTTGGATAGGGCTGTTATAGTTTGGATACCAGTTGCCCCGGTACCGATGACGCCAACATTCTTGCCGGCAAAGTCCCGACTGATATCGAGATCCTTCGGCCAGCGGGAGGTGTGGAACAGCGTTCCTTTGAAATCCTCAATGCCCTCAATAGCAGGTAAGGTCGGCGCAGACAAAAAGCCTAACCCACTAACGAAAAAGTTGGAAACATATTCGTTCCCAGTCTCATCGACAAAAGTCCAAGTATGTCCCTCCTCATCCCAAGTCGCCTTGGTAACAATAGTATTCAACTGGATATCTTTGTAGAGATTATGTTTCTCCGCAAAGTATGTGATGTACTTGTGCGTCTCAGGTTGAGGAGAAAAGGCCTCTTTCCAATGCCACTCGTCAAGCAACTCTTTGTCGAACGAGAAGCAGTATGAAAGTGACTCCGAGTCAAAGCGACATCCTGGGTAGGAGTTCCAGTACCATGTTCCGCCCACGTCGGGGGCAGCGTCAAGGACCTTGATGCGCCAGTCTGGAAAGCGCTGTTTGAGATGGTAGAGGGTGCATAGGCCGGAGAGGCCTGCGCCTAGAATGAGGACGTCGAACTTGTTGGTTGAGTTGGGTAGAGAGCCCATTGTTGCGGTCGTAAGTGTAGAATTACAAGATGTAAATTCGTGGTGAAAGGCCTTTCTGGTTATTCACGAAGCCTGGACTTTATATCACAAGCCATTAACTTCTGCAATCCGACTATTGAGATCGTAGGCAATCGGCAAGTCCCCTCATGTTCAAATTACCAATCGGGACAACATGAAAATAGAATGCAGCCGATGAATTGACCCGCTTTCTCCTCCAGATAAAACCTTCCTCTTTTGTTGGTGACTTGACAGCTGAGTTGTAGCGCAATCAGTTTGCCCAATCATTGCCCTTCAGTGGGTGATAACGGGTGTACCGGTGCGGGGAGAACCTTGTCACGACGCACGAGGCCAGCAAAGGGCGTCGTTGCCGTAGACTACGGCTCCTCTTTCCGACCCCATTCCTTCACTGTAAATGGTGCGTACAGCGGGCCTGTGCCGTATCCGACCCGCTCGATCGCAAAGCCCAAGTAGCATCAAGTGGTAGAAAACTATTTGTTCTGTACAATCCTACAACAGTTCACCATCGGGCGTACCGATTAGGAAGGCTTTTCCAATACTCTCCGATACCCCGAAGGCGGGGAACAGTGTTGTCTCTGGGGGCTTCGTGGAAATGAACATGAACTGAAGGCTGTGACAACAAGTTAGAGGAATTATATGAAACGAAGGTTTATTCAGGAACATGTCTTCGAAAATATTAACCTTTACGTAACGAGCTTTGTGCTATTTCTAACGCTCTAATCTTGCTTCCTATCTGTAACACATGATATGTTCAAAATTGGAAATGTTCAAAAATAGTATTCAATCTCCAGTGCTTCGCCGCTTGGAAATGGGGAATCACATCTTCTCATCCTACCAACGTTTCATATCAGAGACCACATCAGCCATCCCCATCTAACTCACTCTAACTCGCTCATGCCCTACGACAATCAATCATGTTAACCCTTAAAAACCTTTACACCGGTTTCATCACCGCTATGGTGATGATCTTTGGAATTGTCCCTGTTCTTGGATTCATGGTTCCCTGGCTCGCTACTTGGGGCAGAGCCGAACAACGGTAAGTGGCCTTGAACAAAATGATTGAAGTGCCCTTTTCATGGTCTTCTACGCTCGCATTTCTCGACAGGATTGGCAAAAAGCTTTTATATGATTTTCGTTCAAGAGGTTAGTAGGCTGGAATGCACGACATGGAGGATTTGGAGTGGTATGAGCCGTTTGACATGTTTCCTGGACTAGATGGGACTATGACTTCATGCATGCAAAACCAGACCGGCCATATTGGCAATTCTAACTTCAGATCTCTTCCAACTTATTGTTTTCCTTGGTGATGTGTCATAATTAAAGTTTGCAATAAATATTGAGGAAGTTCAATCTGAAGAGATACTAGTCGTGGTCGAACAGCGTGACGACGTTCCCAATCCAAGACTTCGGCGGATCGATCAACGATTGACCATGAATAGAGGCACGACATCAGTACTAGGTTTAAGGATATTTCTTATTCACACTGACGTTACTTAATGCCCCGACAGATCTTCGATAGGCGGGATAGGTTTACGCAACGGTTCTAGGTGGAACGTCTCGAGCGCACGACAGGCCACTTGAGAGTTTCACAAGGAAGACAATGAGCTGAAATGCCGATGAGAAAACAAAGATACGGTGAGGGTTCTTCGTCCATTGTCGCATCCAAAACAGAATATTGTGCATTGGAGGCTGAGACAATCATCCAGGAAGAGTATTTCCGCCACCGAGGCGTGCATTTACAGGGGTTCAGGCGGGATGGCCTCAAACATCGAGAGGGGTAGAAATCGCTAATTAAACTTGGTAACTCAGGATGGAAGAAGAGGGGTTGCTGTTTCTATGTCATGAGATATGAGCACTATAAGAGAACACAGTACTGTCGTGTCGAGTAGCATGAGTCTGTATCTGCACTGAAATCATCACGGACTATACCAGCCTTCAAAATGCCAGGTTGCCTCGAAGGTCTCCACGCTATCGCCACTCATATCGTGAAAGGTGTCGAACAAGATGCCCTCGTCAAGGATATAGAGAAGCGGGCCAAAGGGGTCTTCACCAAAGATGTCGATGCTGCTCCCGAGACCCGCATCTTCTACAGTAGCAAAAATCCTACCCCAATCGTCACCATGAAAGATGGCAAATTCTCAGCCGTCGAAGCAATGGCAATTGAGAATGGCAAGGTCCTGAAAGTCGGCAGTCTCAAGGACACCAAGGCTGCAGCATCGTCCGTCACAGAACCGACTGACATCGGAGGCAATTGCATCGTACCTGGCTTTGTAGAGCCTCACCTTCATATCATCACCTCGGCAATGTTGGATAAGTTCCTGGTGAACTGTGATCCTCTCAATCATGAGATTGGCGGTACTTTCGAAGGTACAATGGAGTTCCTTCGTAATAAAGTCAGGGATCTCAAGAAGGGTGCGTGGCTCCTGGGATATGGCTACGATCCATCTCGATTGGAACCATATGAAGGATCATTCAGAGATTTGACACCGGCTCTGTTCGAACAGGAAGGCCTGACTGAAAATCCTATCCTCATCATTAACGCCTCTGGCCATATTGCCTACGCCAGTTCCCTCGCCTTACGTGAAGCCAAACAGGATGAACCTGCTTCTGGAGTTCTTATCGAACCAGCTGCGTTCCAACCCATCATTACCAAGGCACTGCCGAGTCAGATTATAAAGTCGTTGGAAATATTCGACGGTCTGTTCAATGTCTTGAAACGATGGAGCGCTAAGGGTTTCACCACAGTCTTTGACGCAGGTGTCGGACTCTCTATCCCCCAACTTGACGCCTACATATTGAGCGCGTTGGCAATATGTGCACCACTTCGCATCGCTGGAGCAGCTGCAAACATGACACCTGGAGAAGCTGAGAAGACTGTCGGAAAGGGCGACATGCCGTCAGGCGGCGCAACACCCTTGAAGATCAAGACCATCAAGCTCTGGATGGATGGCTCGACTCAAGGCTTCACGGGTGCACTTGAGGGACAGTACAAGAATGAGTTGCTGCCGGAATACTTCTGGGGAGCACCGTGGGGGTGGGCGAGATGGAAAGTTCGCAAAACGTGCCATATCACACCCTTCACGGAGTCTGACATCTTCGATGAAATGAGGACTTGGGCGAAGAGAGGGTACCAGTTGATGGTACATGTCAATGGTGATTGTGCTTCTGAAGTTGTGCTCGATGCTTTTGAAAAGCTCAAGACTGAGCTTCCTGACTTAAAGGTCCGACATCGACTGGAGCATTTCACCGTGACCCAGTCGCAGCAGATCGAACGTGCTGCCAAGCTCGGCCTCTATGCTAGTCATACCATCGGACACGTCAAGTACTGGGGCAACACCTTTGACAAATACATCCTTGGATCCGAGCGAGCAGGGCGCATTGATCCGCTGCAAGATGATGTGAAGCATGGACTCGTCTACTCGCTCCACAGTGACTCTCCCGTGTCGCAAGCGGATGGATTATCATATGTTAGAACTGCTGCGACCAGACTCATGTACGAGAAGACGCCCGATGAAAATCCGGAAAGAGTACTTGGGGGTGATCAGACTGTGACGGTGGAACAAGCTTTGGCTGGCATAACAGTGAATCCAGCGCGTCAAATACTTCTCGAAAGCGAGATTGGGACACTTGAGGATGGAAAAGACGCCAACTTCGTTGTTTTGAGTCAGGACATCACCTCGTCTTCACTTCATGCCAAAGATATTAGCAGTGATTGGGTGCTCGAAACTTGGTTCAAGGGACGTCTGAGGTCAGCACGCGGGTAGTGAATATCTAGTCGGGAGTTGATAGAGTCGCACTTGTCCGCCACTATCTCTTTTGTTAATATCACCAAATAGCTGATTGAATGAAGGTATATCTCAAGACTTATCTCGTTAGAGTGCGTAACCTGAATGGTGGCAACCATCCTGTTCCAAGAGAGGAAAGTTTCCCCAAGAGTCGCCGATAACCGAAAGGCGGGGACGTCCACTTCCAGTTAGCCCGACATGGCTATCTCTCCTCCACAAGAACCCTGCCCACGATAATCTACATCTTCAGTCTGTAAAATGAAACCCGATCTATCGTAAAGCAAGTCTCGTCAAGGAGACAATTCCTCTCGATATGTCTACCTCGAGAAGGAAACATGACGCTCGGAGCAAGCGCCTGCCAGGCCGGCGAAGCCGATCGTTCGGGGGCTGCATTACTGTATGTTCTCTCTGTGTCATGGCCCACCCGCATACGCTTACAACGCCTAGTGCCGAAGTCGTCGTGTGAAATGTGATGAAGCTCGCCCTGGATGCTCATTGTGCAGTATAGCCGGCGTTGAATGTGGAGGCTACAACAAAGATCTCATCTTCGACCTTGATGATCCATCTACTGCCACGACACGATTTCGACGGCCTTTGCTTACGGAGAAAGAACGTCGATGTATGAGTGAACAGATTGCGCGCGACATTCCACCAAGTCTGGCCAGTTGGCATTTGTCCAAGATTGAAGACGAGTGCGAGAAAGCGCCGTCTGATATCCAGATATCGCGAGGCCCTTTTGGAGCTTTTAGAGTTACGGCAGATCGGCACCAAGAATTTGTCTCTACTCTAGACAAACTACCAGATGGTGCGCAAGATACTTCGAACTTTCAAATCGAAGACCAGGACGACTTCATTCTTCCGGATTTTGATGACGAAATCGAGCTCGTTCCTCCGCCTTATGATACCTCGACAGTTGCCTCTCAACAGCTGGTTCGACAGCCTCAGGATTGGATGACGGTACTCGAAAGCCTCCCTGTAGGCGACTGGCTAAGCCCTGGCCAATTTGATCTCCCAGATTGGTGGGGCTCTACGGTTGTTGACCCTTGGCCTGACAGACTTGCAGCTACACCAAAACCGTCATCGCCAGTTCCATCATCCTCAGTCATGCAGATGGAGCCACCTGCATTACCAGTATCCCAGCCCTCCTTTATGACAGGCCCAATCGTTGACAGTAATATTCCCCAGGATGCTGTCTTGTTAGTCAAACACTATGCCACAACAGTACTTCGCGGCTTGACCCCATATCGTCATAGCAAAACACCATGGCACATCCTTTTCCTTCCGCATGTGAAAAGCTGCTTAGCGGCCCTAACCTTAGGAGAGGATATGGATCATGCCAGTCTATGCGCCTTCTACGGCACATTATCCATCAGCGCCTTCAGCCTCGGTGGAATCTATGACTCGAACAAATGGCTACAACAAGGCAAGACATATTACCAACAGGCTCAACTCCATATACGCGTCATGCTAAGAACAGCATATGATATACCCAAGAGGGCTAAGTACAAGTCTATTCTCATGGCACTACTCACCATGGTGCAAATCGAAGTCTTGTCTGGCAATCGAGATGAAGCAGAATATTACTTCTTGGAGACTGAGAAGTTTATTCGTTTAAGAGGGTTGAACCGCCGCAAGTCTCGCAAGGTCAGATTGCTTCATCACTGCTATGCCTTTGAGCGACTTTCTCATGAAAGTACCTTTACTGAGAGTCGACTCAATCTTGACCATCGCAATCGCGTACGCGAGGCGATTGAAGCAAGCGACGCCAGACCTTATAGTTTGGACAATCTCTCATTCCGTCTCACCACATGGAGAGATTTGGACCAAGAGATGTTAAAGGTCAAAGGTCAAGTTGAGGGCGAGAATGATCTACATCTTCAGCACCCGGGAATCTGGTCTGCCACGCTATATCCCGAAATATTTGGTGTGCCGGAACTCCATCTTTTCATGCTTTCCCTGGTCATTCGTCTCGCTCGAGAGAAGGTTCAAAGCCAGGAGGAAGCCATAACTCTTAAGGAATATATGGCTCGTGGCAAAGCCGTTGAACGATGGATAAAACAGCTCCACGTCCTACGCCAATCTATCTGGACGGCAGAAACACCCGCCGATGCAGAACAGCAACAATCTGTCAACTTACTCAATAGCCTAGCCGACACAATGCAACATGCGCTTTCAGTCTACTTTTACCGGAGGATCTACGATCTAGATCCGTCTATGCTTGAGAAACACGTGCTTGGGGTACGCGATCGGCTTCTCGAGTTTGACGCTTCAGATGCAGGAATGGGGTATGGATCTTTAAGATTGATATGGCCTGCTTTTGTCGCTGCTTGTGAAACGGATGATGTGGAGATCCGGTCTTCGTTTGTCGGATGGTTTGAAGAGGCGGGGAAAAGGAGCGGGTTGAGGATATTTATAGAGACGAAAGAGAGGATTGAGAAGGTCTGGAATGAAAGAGACGGAGTAAGCAATGTAGTTTTGCTGTAATTAATCACAACCAATTCGTACAGTTGTTCACCCTCCCTGACGGTAACAGTTTTGTTCCACTCTGTCAAGAACCGAAAACGGAGAGGCCATTCATTCCTTGACACGGTCATTTCATTGAAGGCGTGATCTACCTTTTTAGCTATTGACAAGACGCTCTAAATGATACACAAGGTAATCCAAAAGTGGCAAGCTATATCCTGAGATTACCTACTGCTTTAGAGGAGTAATGATGTACTGCAGCCACCAACAAGGTGCGGGGAAGTTAACCCATCATCCTGCATCGAGATATAAGACGAGGACAGCTACACTCTTCACTTGAAGACCAACCTCATTCAAAAGTCTTTATCGCATACCGTTATGGCATCTTTCGAAGGCAAAGTAGTATGTCGACTTGTTCTTCATGACTCCCAAGACTAACTCTCTAGATCGCAATCACTGGCGCAGCCTCCGGCATGGGCCTCGCAACAGCCCAACTTCTCGCCTCAAGAGGCGCCATCATTTCCGTCGCAGACATCAACGAAGAAGCCCTCAAAACAGCCACATCATCACTTTCCGGTGACAAACACATATACCATGTAGTAGACGTCAGTGAAAGCGACTCCGTAAACTCATGGATCCAAAAGACCCTCGACACATTCGGGAAGCTTGACGGTGCTGTCAATATGGCTGGTATCATCGCTGAGCCGACGCCTCTGACAGAGTATAGTGATGAGGTCTGGGATAGAATGTTTGCGGTCAATACGAGGGGTGTGTTTAATTGCTTGAGGGCGGAGTTGAGGGCTTTGACGGAGGGCGCGAGTATTGTAAGTGAAGTAGCTGCGCCATGGAATATCACTGACTAGTTAAGGTATCCGCCGCCAGCGTGTTTGGGCAGTTTGGAGCTCCCGGTCATGTTGCCTACTGTGCAAGCAAAGCAGCTGTAATCGGACTTTCCAGAACAGCCGCCAAAGAGAATGGTCACATTCGTGTTAACTGCGTCTCCCCAGGTATGTTATGTCTCCCAAACTCATGGCTTGACTGACTATCCGAGGCTCTGTGAGTACCGCCATGAACCAATATGATGACCCGGAACATGTCAAACGTAGTCTTGCGGGAACAGCCCAGAAGAGAAGAGCCGAGCCGATCGAGGTTGCTCGCGTCATAGCTTTCCTACTTAGTGATGAAGCATCTTTTGTCACGGGCGCAGTGTATAATGTTGATGGCGGTTGGGTATGCTAGAGGCCAGGATTCAACATCGCAAAACATGAAGCAAGTCTATTGGTATCGTCTACTCTAAAACAAGTGATATAAGCAAAACATTATCATAAACATCGCCAATGTCCCACCCGGTCTTTTGTCTACACCCAAAGACTCGACAACCTGCGTATCACCCTCTAATCTTTCCTTCAATTTCTTCCTATCGACATCCTGGACACTCACACCGTCCTCGATGGCCAAAACAGCTGCCGTAGCGGCACTTTGTCCCAGGATCATATATACTGGCTCCATGCGTACCGCCGAAAGCGCGATATGCGATGCGCTTACCGTGACAGGGTTAAGAAAATTCGTAGCGTCCTTCTTTGATGGGATAATTGAGCCGTATGGCATGCTGAACGGTCCAGGGTTGGGAACATGGATAAGACCTTCGTCGTAGATCCGATCGTCGATGATAACGCGTTCGACTTGGTGTACGTCAAGCGTGTAATATCCCACCGCGACGATAGTATCGTTATACTCTTTCGGATCTTGAATATCGTCTTGTTTCATCATGTACATCCCGTTCATACGTCTGGCTTCACGGATGTAAATCTCGTAAGGCCAGTTCTCATTGCTCACCCACTCATCTTTCGCATAACCCCACAGTCCAACTTTTTCGCGGATGTGTTCTGGGACATCCTCGTGATTTGCTAATGTCCAGAGCAGTCCTTGTGCCCAGACTTTATGTCTATGCGCGGTTGCTTCTCGGTCTTTGTACGAGTATTCTGCATAATTGGATGTCTCGTTGTTGCTTCCGCCGATGAGATCTGTGCTGACAAGACCAGCTGCGTTGGTATCGGTTTTCAAGTTCGGCATGAGTTGTGTGGTAAAGAATGGTCCCTCGTGGCCGGCCTTGATGTAGCGAAACAAGATTTCGTAGTCCGACTCGTTGTAATCTTTTGGTTTGAAAAATTCCTTCTTGTTGTCTTCTTCTTGCGTTAATGAGAGTCGATAGTTAAAGGCTTGAAGACGATGATCTTCTTTTCCATTTGCATGATAAGCACCGTAGTTGGTAAGTTCCCGGCCAACGCCTGGAATGAAACCGCTCTCAGAATCATCCTCGTCGTTGAACGGATTGATTTGCGAAAGACGATTCGCCTGGTCTAGATGAAATCCAGCAGCAGACTCGTTGAATTCCTGTTTATCTTCGCGTCCCACTCGATGGGAGATTCCAGCTGTGTCCATGAGATCGCCCTCGTAGCCCGCGTCGATAAACATCTTTCCCGAAAATGTCGATCCGGACTCTGTTTGGAAAGACTTGATCTGCGTTCCGTTCATGTCCACGCCACCTTCTGAGCGGACGATGGCCTCATTTCGAAAGACGGGAATTTTCTCATCTTTGATCCATTTCTCAAAGATCTTCTCGGCGACATGCGGTTCAAAGGTCCACTGAACGTTATCCCCGATGGCCATACCCGGTTGAGCTCGGATCTTCTTGTCGATGTAATCATCTCTTGATTCGTATTTCCAAGCGTCGTCGTTGTCGTAGTATTGGTAGACCTTCTCATAGAATTCTCTCGCGATACCACCAATCGTATTCCCATCTTTTGAGTCTGTCCATCCCAGACCAGAAACTGTCAATCCACCAAGTCGTTTCCCAGGAAATATTATCGCAGCAGTTTTGTTCATTCGAACTGTTTGAATAGCAGCTGCTATAGCAGCAACCGTGTTTCCATAAATAACCACATCGGAATCATGAGTGATGGCTTCCGATAAGACATGTGAAACAAAGAATGAACAAAGCAGAAACAAAAATGATGACGCCATGGTGAAAACTGGCTGCAAGCCACAGCACAGTTGAAAGAGTGAGAAAACAACGAAAACGAAAATTGGGAATTCCGAGGTATTATGCCATTAATTCATTAGTCTAATTATTCAAGTCTAGAACAATGCTGACGATCAGCCAAGTGGGTCTAATTGACGGCGATTCCCTGGTTAGGGGCTATCCTCTGTGTCCAATCCGCGGGAACCGATAAACGTCATGCTGAGATGATTGGTTCTGTCGTAGTGTCTGTGGATCAGGACAGAGTTCTCGATTTCGCCAAGGTCATATCTCAAACCAAAAGCCAATCGAGGCTGCAGCTTATCGTTAGCGGTTTCACGGGCATTACCCATTTCATGACAATCTCACACCGGCTGAGGCCTCCTTTGTAAATGATATTGTAAGTTACAGATGAATGTAAGTTACAAGACACATATTCGTAGATCGACATACAGCATCGATGCCGAGTTTGCCAGAACCACTTAAAGTTTAATAACGATGACGTTTACTAAACTCAATTCCCCCGAGACAACGCCCGCGGTTGAAACCTGCCAGCATTCTCTGCCATTATTGTTGTTGTACATGCAGAACTAAGTAAGCTCGTGTCCAATTCTGGCCATCTACTCAGAAGAACTCATGAATACCCCATAGAAAAGCTCCTTTATCTGCTCCTGTGTCATTTCAGGACACTTAAATAGCAGAAATGCCTTGATCTTGGTCAACGCATGCTTATCCCCTTCTACCGTGCCAGCAATACCCTTATCTGCCCATCTCTGTGTCCATCCTCCCCCAAAGTCAATGAGCCAAGCATTATTATCTGGATTAATGCATACATTCCCAGGCTTTGCATCGCCCCAAACCAATCCGACTTTATGTAGAGCGTTGACAGTTTCTGTAATTTGTTGCAGCCATCGTCGCCTAATATCGACTGGAATCTTGGACATGTGCTTTCCAGCATCTGAAATGGAGTTTCCGTACTGACTTGGTGGAATGCGGGTGCGTAGTAAACCGAGTATTGCTTCTGTGACTGGGTGGACGACGTATCCTTTCAATAATGGAACTCGGAGTGGCGTCTTGAGTGCTGTGTTCACTTTCTCGATCATTTGAAGCATTTTGAGCTCTGGAGCCAAATATTCATATTCCAGACCCCTTGGAAAAGCTTTGCAGACCATAGTTTCTGACCCGACCCTGACCTCTCTAACCCATAGACCGTACTTATACTCTTTCTCAACAATGATATCTTTTGTCGAGTATCTAGGTGTTTTGGGGTCTGGTAGGAAGTCAATATTGAGATTAGGATCAGGACCACCGTCGTCGCGCGGTTTGGCTGCTTCACCAGGCGTGATCGGATACATGAATGCAGTATCATGGATGGTCTCGAGACGAAAGTCAAAGGTTTCGGGGAACATCGCATGGTGTAAATCCTTCGGTTCCTCATAATCATGTCGTATAAGCGGCGGTGCGACCTGGGAGAATGGAATCCTTCCAATATCCATCACGATGTGAGCAGCCTCGTCAACAGACTTTTCGTAAAATTCTATGTCTTCATCCTCGCAGAAATCGAGGTCATCGTCCGATGCATCAGTGAGAAGCTCAATTAGGCGGTCCTCAACAGTCTCCTCCTCATCATCGTCATTTTCTCCATAAGGCTTTGCGAATATTGAAACAAAGATCCTTTTGCCGTTGAGTTTGAACGTGAATAGAGCTTTCGCGCCATCGTCAAACACATCCATACGATCCACGATTAATTCATCAAAAGGTATTTCGGCCTCCATGATGTGCAGCCAATTGAAGCGCAGGGCAGATTGATAGGAAATTGGTTGCGTGCGTCAAGGGTGGAACCGCGTGGGTGCATGTGAAGATGGAAGATAACGGTAATGATTGTTGACCCTTGGCAAAGTGGTCTACACCGGAAGTGGCAATGAAAGACAGCGCATCTGATCAACAGCCAGGTCTAGAAAGCTTGGCCAGATGAGCCAGGATTTATTGGCCAAGAATAAGCTCATTCCAGAATGGAAGTTGCCGTAGGAGTTCTGGGCATTGGGGGCTTTGGGGGTTCAATCCACACTCGCCATTTGCCAAGAACAATCAAACTCCGTACATAATGTCAGAATCGAAGCCCGAGTCTCAACAAGCAACCCGCATCACGTGCGATGAACTCGGTCTGGTGGTCTAGTGGTATGATTCTCGCTTAGGGTACACCCTGTAGCACAGCTTGCGAGAGGTCCCGGGTTCAATCCCCGGCCAGACCCTTCCTTTTGCCGTTCTGGGATACACACCTGGAGCATTTCTTTTTATTTCAGATGGGTGATGAGTGCCTACTACATCTGAAGTTTGTTGTAGATTAATTGGGCCCTACATTAAGATCTCCGATTAACTGCCATCTGACGAGCAACATATACCAGTACAGATTATGAGACAACTTGACTCCAATCCTTGACTCCTTCATACAATTTCTCAAAGTGAACTCCTCAACTCATCAGGTTGCTTCTTCCAATACTTGCTAATGCCCCCCTCCTTCCCAGTATACGGATCAGCATCAGCATTCTCAACGCCCCAAACAGCCTCAAAATCTCCCTTACTATCCCCTCCCTCATCCCAAGTCCAAGAGAAGCCCTGCGGATAAGCCCCCATCATACAAAACCCCTCCAACGGCACTTCCGATACCTCAATGTTACTATCAATCTTCCTAGCATCACCCGTCAAACATCCAAAACTCGCGGACTTAGCATCTGGGTCATAGGACTTGTGCGAAACACCAGCAGGTATGACGAAAAGATCTCCCACTTCAACGTCCACTTCTATACCGCCGTCTTCGTAGGCTTGACCGTAGGTATGGTCTTCCCAGTTTTCGGACAAGTCTGCGACACCCCAGCGGATCTTGCCGGGACCGTGGACGACGATCATGGCTTCGTGGGTTTGGGAGTGATAGTGGGCTCGTTGATGTTGGCCGTAGCGAACAAGCCATTGAACGTCCCAGTTGTTTGATCTCAAGGTATCAAAGGCGGCTGTTCGGTCGACTTGTCCATCTTTGACGAAAGCTTCCTTGTAGAGGAGGAGGGGTTTGGGTGAGTTGGGGACCAATTTTGTTGGTTTGATGTGATAGAGTATTGGCTCTGGCAGCGAGGACATGATGAGAGAGATGCTGTTAACCAGATAGAGATGTATGGGTTATGGCTTTGCAGTAGATGTAGAGTTGTGAGTATTAAGGTGTGAAAGGTAAGTTGTGAGTCTGTACCACTTATAACAGTGAGATGCACCTTTATTTACCTCCTACACACATTTCCAATCTGGCATGTGGAGATCCCAACATCGACGTACATGGTGTAATACCAGACTAGCATTCCCCCACGATAAGCAACAGACTACGGTTAGCAACTCCGATGAAATGCGGGGACAAACCCAATCGCCAACCATCGGCAACCACAACCGTTTGATACCGGTATCATGAGCCGTATCTTTTTATGTTAGTTCCGGACTAAGAAAGCGAAAATGCAACTACAAACGCGGGGTACAGCAGATGGCTTCCGAGATCATCATGGTATGACCAATAAACGGGACGTTAATGTCAAGATAACAATGGATTTCAGTGCCGCTTTGGATGGAATGATCAAATCAATGATACACGCCATGATTCTGGAAATTATCTGCGTGATTTTGCTGATATAGGAAGAGTTTGTGATTAGTAGGGTGGGCGGCGTATCACTATCTGATAAGTTAGCTTCCTATATAAGCCATCTTAGACCTCCTCGCATGATACCAACTAATTCCAAATCACCTTCTCATCATACCCACCACCCACAGCATAGTCAATAATGCCTCACTCCGGAGGCCTCGACGGCCCTCTTCCAACCTTCCTTTCCAACAACGCATTCCATACCCGTTCGGCTTACGATTCCAAGGTTCCAGATGTTAAAACTGCAGAAGTACTCTCCTCCACAGTAGAAGAGAAAGCAAGATCATCTGCTTCACAACGATGTATCGATCAAGCTAGACCATTGAAGGTCATATACATCGGCGCCGGCATCTCAGGTATCTGCGGTGCTGTGGAATTCCGCAAGCAGGTACCTGATATAGACCTGATCATTTATGAGAAGAACCCAGACCTTGGCGGGACTTGGTATGAGAATAGGTATGTGGGTTTCAAGGTTGATGACATGGCAGAAGTTAACATACTTGCCTACTCAGATATCCAGGTTGCGCATGTGGTAAGTGATTTCTCCAATCCTGTAGCGATATGTATCTAACGGACTTCTAGATGTCCCAGCGCACGCTTACCAATTGACTTACGAGTCTTCCCCCAGGTGGAGTTCTTTCTTTGCCTCAGCGCCCGAGATTCTTCAGTATTGGAAAGACGTGGCTACGAAATATGATGTCAGGAAACATATGCGCTTCCAGCAGAAGTGTATTGGAGCACGGTGGGATGAAGCCACGAATAAGTGGCATGTTCAGCTCAAAGACTTGAATACGGGCGTGGAATACCAAGATTCCTCCGACGTTCTCGTTACTGGCGAGGGAGTCCTCAATGAGTGGAAGTGGCCCGATATCGAGGGCATTCAGTCTTTCAAGGGAAGTCTTCTCCATAGTGCCAACTGGGATCCTCAAATTGATCTTAAGGTGAGTGCTTCCACTCTTAGCGGCTCCGGCGATGTCATTAACTGAAGTCACAGGACAAATCTGTCGCTGTTATCGGATCAGGAAGTAGCGGTCTTCAAATCGTTCCCGCAATACTCCCCGAAGTAAAACACATGGACCACTACATCCGCGGCCGCTCTTGGATCGTCGGCCTCTTTGGCGACACAGAAACCCGTCAACGAATCCACGACGCAGGCGGTAACTTCAACTACACTCCCGACGAGATAAAAAAATGGGAGACGGATCGTGAAGCATACTTGGAGTATAGACGAGCCATTGAGTACACCATCAACAAGAACTTTGGCGTACTTTTCCATGGATCCAAGGAACAGACTAACCTTCGCCAAATTGCTCAAGATTCGATGATGCAGAGACTAAAAGAGAAGCCTGAGATTTATGATCACCTTTTGCCGGAGTTTTCGCCTTATTGTAAGCGCATGTCTCCTGGACCTGGCTACTTGGAGGCGTTGGCATCGCCCAAGGTGGACACTATCACCTGCGGTATCTCCAAGATCAATGAAACCGGCGTCATAACCACAGACGGAGAGTATCACCCAGTCGACGCCATCATCTGCGCAACAGGCTTCCAAACCTCCCCCGCAAACCGAAGCTTCCCCATCTACGGCGTCGACGGTATCAACCTCCGCGAACGCTTCCAAAAGCGCCCAGAAACATACCTCAGTGTCTGCACCGACGGCTTCCCCAATTTCTTCCAATCCATGGGTCCCAATTCCATGCCCGGCGCGGGCAGTCTTCTCCTCACCATCGAAAAAACAAATGTCTACATCAGCAAGATCCTCGCACGAATGGCCTACGATAACATATCACGTATAGAACCCAAGCACAATATGGTACAAGCTTTCACAAATTATTGCGATGAGTTCTTCAAGCAGACTGTTTTTTCAGAGGAGTGCAATTCTTGGTATAAGACTTATGAAGCTGGCGCTTCGCGTGAGGAGCAGAAACGTGGACGTATTACGGCATTGTGGCCAGGGAGTAGCCTGCATTGCATTCGGACGTTGAGTAACCCTAGGTGGGAGGACTTTGAGTACAAGTATTGTGATGATGATGAGTTTGGGTGGTTTGGGAATGGGTGGACTTTGGCGGAGAAGTATGTTACTAAGGAGGTTGAGTCTTTGACTTGGTATCTTGATGATACTAAGATCATGGAGAAGGTAGCGGGAATGGAGACTTAAGCAGAATTAAGATTGCATGGCTGCATGTTCCATCCACGACTTTGACGCGTGTAAATGTCAATCCTCGAGTCACGACGCGTTACTCTGCTGAGATAAAAAGTGATCAATGACGTAGTACATTAGAACAATGGACGGAATTTGTTCGAATGCCAAGGATGTTCGGCTCAATGTTTGACCGATCCGCTATGAATGATTTGTGACAGGACCACGTCTTTGTCTCAACATGTTTACGAGGTTGACATAGTGTTGAGCGCGACGTACACGGACATAGAGCAGCAATCAACCTCTGGAATTCGTAGAAACTTAAAAACTTGTTCTATTAGTAAAAGTAATATTGATTTGCTACATAGTAAACTAGATACTCTATCTGTATCGCCGAATTGGTTGTGATCATGCGCAATAATATCCTTCTCTAGGGTAGCTGTCGTCGCGTACTCGAGACCATTGACGCGTCAATCAGCGCTCCCTCGGCGATCAGAACCATTTCCTTCAGCCTACGAGTTACCGATGGTTTTAAGGCTGAACTTACATCGCAAAGCAGTATACACTTGATTATGAATCCAAGTCAGACTGAAACATGATACGCGAAATCACTTACGCATGCATATCGTTCGAGATTCGCATTCGCATTCTGAAAGGAAAAAAGTAAGCCTGACAAAATAAAATGCTGCACACACCCCTTCTAATGTCCGTGGAAATGACCCAGCTATTTTATCTCTCGCGGCGATCGGCGGTCTTTCGGACTGTCCGAGACGCCGCCCCTACGCCAAGGACAGAGACGGGGCGCGCGGGATGCGTCTGAACATCCCTGCCCAAGGCATCATCAGCTCAAGCCTTACATACAATTATCGATGAGCCCTGAACAACAGGTAGTTCGAGACCTTTCAGCCGCTGAACGCGAACATGGATAGCGACGGAGAGAATAATAGCGTCGTCTCGTCGACGCGCCGGATCCCGGAACAGAAGCTGTCCGTAAGTCTGGCTATTCCCGTCATATCCCCGGGCAATGGGTCGCTGATACTCCGTAGTGCGATCAATGCAGACAAAGAAAGGTAAGTGAGCATGACAGTGGCTGCGAAAACATCCACTCATTTACTGTCAGGTCAAATGTGATCGAGTGGATCCATGTGGACCTTGTCAAAGGAAACAGATACACTGCTCTTACCCAGCCGGCTTCAAAACACGAGCAAGACGGACGCGTGCTATGGTATCTGATGGATAGTAAGTGAAGAATCCCCAGAGAAGCATGAATGGCACTGACCATGCTATAGTGAAGACAAGCTGAACCACATCTCGCAAAAACTCGACCAAATCAGCCTCGCAGTCAACAACATCACGTCCCCCCTCCCCCATTTGCAAGGAAGTTCATCAGCAGCCCATACCGCTCTGACGTCCCACATCACCCCAAAGTCTTACACAGACTCTCCTGTGGAGGAGGATGCATCCAATGATGATTCGACATCAGAGCTGGATGGCGACGTTACGCTGACTACTCAGGCGACATTCGCGACGAACTTTCTGGAGCAGGCAGTCAACAGCAATAAAGGATCCGATCAACCTTCCGAGGTTGAGAAAAGTCTGGACGCTTTACGGAAGGTATTAACAGCGAAGAATGCCAACAATGGAGACCCTGGACTTGTTGATACCCAAAGAATCCTGTCTCCGACCGGACAAGGAGGGTATCAATTACCCCCGATGCACTTAGCCATGATGGCGATACAGAAACTGCGAGGCGAGTCATTCCAATGTTGACAAAACGTGTAATAACAGAGTTCTCAGAGTCGCCCAGGTTGAAGTGCTTCTGGTGCATCGAATTCAACACCATCGGTCAATTCGTAGAGTATTTCATGACAGTCTATTTCGGCAAACCCACCCTCGCCGACCTCATCATCACGCACGCGGGACTACAACGACTCTTACTTGAATGCGCCAAGTTGGAACAAAACGAGACGCTCAAGCCTGAGTTTCTGACACAGGGGATGATCTGTCGACAGAATCTGGAAACCATCCTTGCTGGACTTCCGTTTAATTTACCTTGTACATTTGACTACGTCCTTGCTCTGTACATGGCGGTAAGTGCAACGCTCCAAACCGTCGTGGAGATAGTAACTGATCTTATACGAGGCAACGTATTATCTCGATAGATGCCGCATATCACTCTCCTGGAACACCCTCGCTGCCGCAGCCCAAATGTGCCAACGCCTAGGCCTCATCCGCGAAACCCTCCCAAAGCCAGAAACACGCGAAGAAAAACAGCGACGAGGAAAATTAGTATCATGGATCCACATGATAGACAAGATGCTCTCCATGCGTCTGAGTCGTCCATCGCTTATACGCGCTGGTGAAATCACGATCAATTTTGAAGCGCTGGAGGCGTTTGGGAGCGATGGATTACCTCCGATTCTGGCGAAGTGGACTGACGTCTGTGACTTACAAGGGAGGGTGTATGACGACTTGTACTGTCCCAGAGCGTTGATGCTAGGCGATGATGTGAGAGCGGAGAGGGCGAGGCAATTGGCGGGGGAACTTAAGGCGGTTTTTGAGAGTAAAAGTGCAACTGAGGTATGTCTACTGATGGTCAATTCAGATCTCTTGCTGACATTCACAGGACCGGTTTATCGAGGAATCGAGGCAAGGTGTTGGCGACACACTGACAGACCTCTTCCAAAGAGCCGACCAGATCGCATACCTATCCATGCTTTGTCTCATCTACAGAGCCATCAAACCAAAGACCTCAACATCCTCGGCGTTCTGCGACGAGTGTCTCGAAGTAGCGAAACAGGCTCTTGACGAACACAGGATATGCTTGTCGATCCTCAAGGAAGGCGAGGCGGGTATGCTTGAGCACTACGTGCATTGGGCATTCATGGCAGTGCCATTGATACCATTCATCGTCCTCTTCTGCCATGCCATCGAAACCTGCGAACCAACCCATCTAGAAAATCTAGCAGCCGTCGTCGAGATAGCACACATCACCGACGATCTCCCCGTCGTATACAGCAAGCAACTCCATCTGTTCAAGCTCATGTACGACGTGGCATGCAAATACATAAGCTCGAGGACAACACATCCTGCGGTACATGCATCAGGAAGGATACCAGACACGCCCTTCGAGATGTTATTTGTTGAAGCAGGTGTTCCTCTTCCTCCGCAGACGATGCATCATGATCAGGGCATGACATTTGGGGACTTTCCGGTTGGTGAGATGGATCAGAGTTTGACGCATAGTATGGAGCTGGGAAATTGGTTTGAGCAGAACCAGGAAATCTTTATGATGTTGGATAACAATATGTAGATGGTTTAATAGAATTGATGGAGCGCTGTAAACTATTTTAACTTGTAACTTTTTCTTTTTTTCTTGTCAAGGAGCAAGTCCTTCAGAGTGTACAAACAAAACAACATGATGGAACGCTGGGAGCACCTGCCAGGAGAAGGGAATATGAGAAAGGGAGACAGAGATGGAGTCTATGTACGAGCTTACAAGAGGCGGAATCTCAAAGGCATCCAGATAGTGATAGAGTCACATATGCGCATGTACCTAACAGCGATGGCCAGAAGGAAGGTATTGAAGTGCCATACTGATTATGTCTATGTGTCTATACTAAGATAAATAAAAACGAGAGAATCTATAAGATGACGAAATAAATTGTAAGAGATTGCATAGAAATAAACATCCAAACCATGTCCAGATCAAATTTGTCCAAACCGTCTAGTTCTTACCCTTACCCTTCTTCGGCACCCGCACAAGCCAGTAGATAGCAACAGCGGCAGCACAATTAAAGAAAACATAAACCCAAAGCAGACCAAAGTTCCTCCATCGGTGATCAAAGGTAATGTTGATCGTCTTCAGGAAGGCGTTCGTGCTGGCCATAGGACAGTAGAGACACTCTGTAGTGCTACTTCCACTGCCCTCTGCAAGATACCCGCCGTGACCAGAGATGTAATCAGACAAAAACTCGGTGCAAGTAGATCCATTCGTGGGACTAAAGTTCAAGATCTCGTTCTGAGCGCAGGTGACAGGCGCATTAGCGAGCGTGGTGCCAAGGAAGCCTTCGACGACGTAAGTGAAGGGGTTGACGCGGTACATGAAGATCCAGAAACGGGGGAGTGCATCGGGTCCTGCGAGCACACCACAAAATGCGAACATCATGATGAAGAGCAAGTTGAGGATACCGGCTGCGGTGTCGGGATCGGGAAGACCGGCGATGATCATGTGCGTGAATGTCGAGGCGAGGAGAAAGAACATCCAGACGTGCAAAAAGATGGTGATGCCGCGGGAGTCGACTTGGTTGGTCCATTCAGCGTTGCGGTAGAGGCCGATGGGATAGTACCAAACGATAAAGGAGAAGACACCGATGAACTAAACACTGATGTAAGTAAAAAATAACATGCCGAAGATAAGATTTACTTACCGAGTTCCAAACAAGCTCGACGGTGATGTTGGCGAACATGAAGGATTGCCACGAGTAAGTCTTGGAGGGACGTTCCCGAGCCTCGTAAAGAGTCCTTTGTTGCACGAATACCGGCATCATTTGTTCAGCGACCTGAGAGAAGATGGTCAAGAACAAGAAGACACCGAACATCTGGTTCTGAAGCCCGCGCATCGTATTGTTGCCGTTCATAACCGAGAGTCCGATGAACAGAGCCTGGGGATCGTGTTAGCTTGAGTCAAGATGAGTGGAGAATGATGGTGTACTTACAGCGCCGACAGAAAGAAGAACTTTGGAGTACATGTACTGAGGGTTTCTCCAGTATCCTTGGAAGAGTCGCTTGGTTACCTCCCACAGTTGAGTCGGGTAAGAAGACGCAAATTCCTTGTACTCGGACGGATCCCCACTTGGTGCAGGTGCTTCAATCGAACCGCTTGAAGATTTGAGAGACTCAAGCTCATCTTGCACAGCCTTGTATTCGGGCGACTGTCTCCAGATAGCGGGCCAATCGACATCAGTATGAGCACCTGGAGCTGCCCCAATAACCTCGAGCATATGCTCCGCTGGATTCGCCTTGGCGGGTAGAGCAGGTCCTCCATTGCGAGTGAAGTAGTCCATCAAAACCTGCGAATTCTGACCGACTTGACCAAAATAGACAGTCTTACCACCCTTGGCGAGAAGAAGAAGTCTGTCGAACCGTTGAAAGAGCATAGCCGAAGGTTGGTGGATGGTACACAAGATAGCCTGACCACTCTTGGTCAACGTTTCCATCAGATCACAGATAGACCAAGAAGTCTGACTATCAAGACCGGAAGTCGGTTCGTCGAGGAAGAGAAGGAGCTGGGGCCGGGCAACAAGTTCGACACCGATGGTAAGTCTCTTGCGTTGTTCAACATTGAGACCTTCTCCAGGAACACCGATGATGGCGTCAGCATAAGCCTCCATTCCAAGTAGCGAAATGACAGTATCGACGTAGTCAATGCGTTCTTGCTTGCTGTACTTCGCTGGTTGTCGCAGGATGGCGCTGAATCGTAGGGCTTCTCGGACCGTCGAGCTGGCCTGGTGAAGATCTTGCTGCGTCACGTATCCGGTCTTTCGTTGGAAGGAAGAATCGCGCTGATGTCCGTTGACAAGCATTTCGCCGGAAACGACACCCATGGTGACACGGCTAGCGAGAACGTCAAGTAGGGTGGTTTTGCCGGCACCAGAGACACCCTAGAAGTAAGTCAGTGAGAGAAGTCCCAAGGATAAGATGGAGGTAAACGTACCATGAGAGCCGTCAGAGTACCGGGCTTGACCCAACCGTCGACGTGGTCTAGAATCCTGCGATCCTCGCCCTTGATCTTGATATCGTAGCAGACATCCTTCCAATGAAACACGGAAGTTTGCCTCTCAACTTCGACCTTCTCGCTCGAGTTGCCAGACGCCTCCTGCTTACCCACAGGCATAGAAGAACCGGCCTCTTCATCGTGGGCGCGCTTACCAGTGGCCTTGCTAATTGATTGGCGGAGGAAGACGAGTACTTCACCCTTGGAGCGCTCAGAAGCAACAAACTCAGTTGTCATAAGATGGAGGATCATGTAGAAAAAAGCCCATGCAATGAGAACACCAAGATTCCTCCATCGATGGCTGTTGACAAAACCGAACGAAGTGCGCAAATAATCTTGGCCTCTGACGAATGATTGTCCAGGGACAGAGCCAGCGACATTGCACACACGTTCGCCCGAACTCAGGTTCTCGTAACCAGGTCCACTGGGAACGAAGCTCGAACAAGGATAATCCTGACCGTGGAACTCAATCAAAAAGACACTCTCGAGACCATAGAAAACGGGATTGATCCACCGAATCCAGGCGAGCCAATTCTGCATATAGCCCGTCGGAATTGCAAATCCGGCGTACAAAACCAGACCAAGAAGAATAATACAAGCGGGCGCCAGTGCTTGAGAGATAGACTTGGTCGCTGAGCCGATGAAGCGGAACATCATCGACATGCACATCGTGAGAGTGAAGGTAAACAACAAAAAGGCGAAGAACGGCCCCGGTTCGCGTCGAAGGTTACACATGAAGTACAACGTCGTGTTCATGAGAATAGCGTTGATGACCTTGTAGGGAAGATCAGTGACCATGGCGGACAGCGCTTCAGCGCTAGGGTGATAGAACGCGTAGCGGGACTGCTTCTCGACGATCTTCCTCTTCTCGTAGAGGGTCATGATCTCGAGAATACTGCCGAATGCATTCATGATGACAATAAAGAAGAGTAACATCGTGCGACGGAAGAAGCTGGTAGTGTCGCGAGGCATGTTGTAGAAAATGCTGGAAATGATCAAGGCTTGGAATATGTTGGTGATGAGCATGGTGAGGGTAATCGTTGGGTCGCCGACGAGCATCTTGACGCTTCTCCAGAGATTGATGGTGTACTGCTGCCAGAAAGACAAGTTGAAAGGCGATTTCTCGCGTTGAGCGCGCGCTTGGTCGAGTCGTCGCGATTCAGAGAACCGTTGAAGGTCTGGGCCATCGAAGGGGTGCTGCTCAATGTAGTAGTCGATCTCATCAATCAGCCGAGAGCGCGACTGGCTGTTCCTCCACGCAAGAGCAAATTCGTCAGCTGTGCGAGGAGGGTTGGCACCAGGGCGGACGATTCGTTCGGTCGGATTGGTCATCGAGGTGAGGAAGTCGGCGGTTGTCTGCTGCTCAGGGCACACGAAGCCCAGGTTCTCGAAATAGGCTTGCGCGTCTCCTGTTCTTCCAAAGAAGATCTGACGACCTTCGTACAAGACGACGACCTTGTCGAACAGATCATAAGCGCTTTGCGGCGCTTGATAAATGGCGACACAAGACGAAATACCGAGGACGTCGGCTTGCGTGCGAAGGACGCGACAGAACTCAACCGCGTTGGCGCTATCGAGACCACGTGTACTGTTGTCCCAGCACTGCAGAGGGGAGTAACCAAGAGCTGCCTCCGCGATGGTAACTCTCTTGCGTTCGCCGCCACTCACACCACGCACAAAATCGTTACCGACTCTCGTATTCTTGGTGTGTGAAATGCCGAACATAGCCATGATAACATCACGCAGATGTTCAGCGTATTCATGCGCTGTCACGCCCTCGGGAAGCTTGTCATTCGGAGGACAGCGGCAGCGGGCAGCGAAGTAAAGGGTGTCGCCAACGGTGAGGTGAGGGAAGTGGTGATCGACCTCAGCAGTGTAGATAGCTTCGCCTTTGTAGGCCTTCTTCATTTGCTCCGGTCGGATGCCTTGATAGTTGAGAATAGACTCCTCGCCAAAGTGGAAACCATGCGTTTCACCAGAAATGCTGCGGAGGAGAGTCGAGCAACCAGAACCTGGAGGTCCAAGGACGCAAAGCATCTCGCCTGCTTCCACCAACCCATCAAGGTTTCGGAGGATGTCGATGCGCTGACCCTTGTACCCGCCGATCTTCCTCACGAGACTTGTAGCGTTGAGTACGACGTTGACCAACGTGTTCTGGAAATCGGTGGCTTGTCCGAAGCCGAACGCGTTGAGGTTTTTGAAAGCGATACCGGCTGTTCTTGGGGCATTGCCATCGGAGGCAGCGGTGCGAGTCTTGAGGAACGCCTTGGCCCATTTCTTCGCGTTGAAATTGGGGCTTTCGGGGTCGAGAGAGCTGTTGCCGTTTAGAGGAAATAGAGGGCCGTGGCCTGATGCTGCAGAGTGGCTTGTGAGCCTTCGAGCTAGTTGGTGGATTTCTTCATCGTAGGTATGTTCGGCTGAAATGTTGTCTTCGCTAGGTGGATTGTCTTGGAGCGTTGTTGACGAAGCCGATGGGTCGACTTCTTTCTGTGGTAACATGACGTAAGAATTAGATGCGGTATACCTAGACCAGGAAAGAACGGTCGGACAATTGAAGGAAGGAAGTAGGGATAAATACAAGACGGAAACAAAAATCGCAACTCCAAATCGACCCCAGTAAATATAATAGCAGATATTAAGACATTGTCAAGGAATGATACAGGCCCCTTTTCACGTCATCCCGGATCGCCGCGGGCCCAAAAAGCCGTTACCATCCAGTCCGCACGGTACCGGGGCCCGAGAAAGCGGATCACCCATTGCGGTGCTACGGACTGTCCGAGCCCCGGGTCCGAATTCGAATTGCCAAGCCACCGTGGCATTGGCCTAAGAGACGAAATAATTTGAACATTTTAGCACTGTATTCAGCTTGTCTTATTTTGGCGTACTGATCCTTGGATGGAGGGCCATCTGCGTGTGCCCTGTAGACCGGGATGACTCTAGCGGCATGACGCACTGAAAGCTTGGCTAAACTTAATCGGTGTCCACGGGTTCCGTGACAGGTAAGCGAAGTGAACGACCAATGGCAACTTGATGTCTTATTGAGTGCATTTTGGAGAGTTGAAACAAGTGATGCTAATTGAAGTGAACCAACGGTCTTAGGTTGCTGTTCACTTCATCTGTGACTTGTTCGGCCTTGAACACTAACTACTTAGGCGCCAATCAGTGTGTAAGAATGCTTTATTACGTTAATTGTATTCAGAAAGAACTGGAAGTACGGTTTATCAAACTCGATACGGTCATAGATCTCTCCGGTGACTGCTACAAAGTTTACCTTGCACCCCTGTTTCATTAAGGTAAGGTCAGGTAATCGTTCTTTCAGCTTACAGTATCTGTAACTTTGATACGCATCCGCTTTTGTAAACGCGCTGATTGTAAAGACGTATCGACATAGTTGTATTCGAGAGCAGAACACACCACCTTCTTTTCGGCTGCGCACATCCCATCTTCAGCTTCTTAGCTAACACGAAGCCTAATGGATGAAACATATAGACTCTCTATCCTAAGAATAGACTAAAAGTCGGGATTTAGACATCTACAGTTGAAGCATTGTAGAGAGGGGTTATACCTTCAACGTCATCGGGTGAATTTCAATTAGGGTTTGCTTCCTCGAAAGTTAGAATTCGGCGTTATGAGTCTACCCTGACAGAAGCGACAACATATAAATGAATGCTCTATCTTGGCATTGGCCCGTAAAGTCTCCTTCAGCACGTCTTGTTACATACACATAGGCCCGAGTCAGATTTCAAACTTCACTGACATCACGATTATCTCTTTGGACGTAGAAATACCCCATATTCGGTATTCGAGAACAACTCTTACCCTTTCCTTTCAGCATTCACAATCAGTCATCATGGTCGAACGATCAGGTCTCCTTTGGGACGACTCTAGCATTTGCACTAGACCGCTCTGGGAGCACGAGCCCAAAATTGAAGATATCATCGAAGTCTTTCTGCGGCTAGGCTTCGCTGACAAACGGAATCAGCTTCATGTGTCAGTCCTCGGCCAGGGCGCAATAAACAAGGCCTACCTTGTTCAAATCCGAAAAGACGGAAATAAAAGGGTTTTGGTGATGCGAGTTTCGCTGCCCATCGATCCCGGCAACAAGATACGCGGCGAAGTTACTACTCTCCAATGGCTCCGGCGTTATACCACCCTACCTGTTCCTGAGGTTATTGACTATATGGCCTCACCTGACGACGATATTGGCTACGAATGGCTCATGATGTCACACGTACCAGGGCAAACCGCTTTGGTCAAGTGGCGCAAGATGTCCATGGACCAAAAGAGACGTCTTGTTGAGCAAGTCGCAAGGTATCAACATGAACTAACAGCGCGAACATTCGACGCCATAGGTACTTTGCGTAAAGTGGAGGATAGGTACGCTCCTGGGAAAATTGTTGACATGGAGTTTTGTTTCGGCGATCATTTCTCCTACAACATCAACAGAGGCCCTTTTCATTGCGCTCGCGACTGGTTCCAAGCGCTCTCCGATATTATCGTCATGGATTTCCAGCAAGTTCTTGACGAAGAAGACCTAGACGAGTTCGACCTTATCATGACCAAGCACTATCTCGGTATCGCCAACAGGCTGAGACAGTTGATACCTACTCTATTTTCAGATACTACACCGGAAAGAACTGTACTTTGGCACCGATCTCTCGTTATCCAACATGATCGTCAGCGAAGACGGTAATATCAACGGAATCATTGACTGGGAATGTGTTTCAACGATACCGATTTGGGCTGCCACTGGTACACCAAGCTTTCTACGAAGCCAAGACCGCCATGACAAGCCACGCCCAGAACGCTATTATCGCCGTGCTCCTACAGTAGATATATATGGGCGGGACGATGAGGGACTGGATATTAAGTACTGGAGGGACTTGGAGGACTATGAGTTCACGGTACTTCGGGCTCACTACGATACTTGCAGACGTCATCACAATCCTAGGTGGAAAAATGACTTGACAAAGGATGAGAAACTCAAGTACGACTTTCTTGATGGGATCAATCTGTGCAGAGCTCAAGACTTTGGCGGTGCAGTAGACGATTGGATTGATGCGCTTGAGGAAGGCAATATCATTGCGCTGGAGTATAGTGACTAAACCTTCCCCTTATGAAACAGATGCGCAAGGTAAACTCGGGAGCTGTCACCCGATAGATTTACTGTCGTGCGAGGTTGATGACGCGGACCTTTACCTGAGTATTATCCAATACGAAGCCCAACAGATAAAACATATACAGTGTCTATCCTAAGAATGTACTTAATGTCGGGATGATATGGAACTGCAGGATATGTACAGTTGGATCATCGTAGAGAACGATGATATACTTTCAATGCCTTCGGGATAATTTGAGATAAGGTTTGCTTTCTCGAAAAAATCAAATCGGCAACATGACTCTACGCCAGGACAAGGGAGCTATCAATACAATATATAAGGAACCGCTCTTTCTATCTCCTTTCTGATTTTGATTTTAGTAACATTCGCCCTTAGTTGCCTACTCGCTCTACTCGACCTTTCACTACTCTATCAAGAATCTTTTAGACTTAGAGAACAATTTTGACACTCCCCTTTCAACAATCACAAACAATCATCATGGCTCCATCCGCTCGGCCCGGTCTTCTATGGGATACCCGTCCCTTTAATCAAGGGCCTCTTTGGGAATACGAGCCCGTACTCGAAGATGTTGCTGCACTCTGTCGGGAAAAGCTGAACGTCCGTCCAGATGAGTGCGACATTTCTTTCCTAGGCGAAGGTTGTAACAACAAAGTCTATCTTGTCGAAATCAACGACGAGAAGAAGTACGTCATGAGGGTCTCGCTCGCTGTTGATCCCAAGTACAAGACAGCAGGCGAGGTCTCCACTATCGAGTGGCTCCAGCTTCATACTAAGGTGCCTGTGCCCAAGGTCATCAGCTTCAATGATTCCAACAAGAACAGCATCGGGTTCGAATGGATTCTGATGGACTATATGCCAGAGCAGTCTGCCTTCTATAGGTGGCGCAAAATGTCAATGGATGAGAAGATCACTGTTACCAAGGATGTCGCAGACTGCCTTATGGATATGGTCACGAAGTCGAATTTCAACGGCATCGGCACTCTGCAAGGGCCAGCACCTCACCGCCCGGGTCGCATCGTCGACATGGACCTTTGCTACAACGATCACTACAACCTTGATATCCCGCGACTATTTCCTGACCCTCATCGAGATAACCATCCCGGATTGGGACGCTGAGCTTAATATGTCACTTCTGAATCACGAACAATCGAGCGCACAGACTGATCAAGGCTATCTTGACGTTGCACATAGGATTCGCCGTTTGCTCCCTATTCTCTTTCCATATTCAAGCACTTCAGCCGAACCTACCGTACTTTGGCATATCGACCTCAACCTCAAGAATATCATGCTTAGTGGCGATAATAAACAGATTAATTGTTCTGAAACCCGGATAATTGAGCAATCCGGCAAGGACAGAACAAACCGCATATGTAAGCTTCCGTTGAAGCACACAAAGGATTTGAGAACAAAGAAGTGGTGTAACCCCACTATCTGAGGTACCTATATCAGTCCAGGCATTCCCCTCAATTTGTGCGACCTGTACCATATTCTACCCAGCACATTCAAGCTCTAAAAGAAATAACATCTTCAACACTTCCTACAAACTCAAACTCTACAACACAACACCACCATCATGACTAAAACCGAGCGACCAGGTCTCGTTTGGGAAAGCGGGTTATTTGCTCCTTCACCAGCCTGGGAATCCGAACCTAGCCTCGATGTTATCTCGAAAGTTGTCCAAGAGACTTTGAGTCTCAGCTCCGACGAGTGCAGCGTCTCGTTTCTCGATGCTGGCGCTATCAACAGGGCTTACACTGTTCAAGTCAAAGACGAGAAGAACAAGTACATCATGAGAGTCTCCCTGCCTCTCGATCCTAAGAACAAGACAGCTTCTGAGGTCGCCACCCACAAGTGGCTCGGCAAGACTAGCATCCCTGTGCCTGAAATTATCGCATTTGATGATTCCAACAAGAACCTGATCGGCTATGAGTGGATTTTGATGCAGTACATGCCTGGCCAGTGTCTTTACAGCAGATGGCGCAAGATCCCCTGGGAGGATAAGATTGCTCTGGTCAAGAAAGTCGCAGACTGCCAACTGGAGTTGATGAAGTCGCCCTTCAAAACCATCGGCTCGTTGAGAGAGACAGAAGCAGGAATAGCACCCGGTCATTGCGTTGCCCAGCAATTCGTTGTTGGAGACTCTTTCGACTACGACGTACCGCGAGGACCTTTTAGTTGCAGTCGCGACTGGGCCAAGGCCCGCGCTGGCGTCGCCATCCATGAACACACCGCGAGCATCAAGAAGGCTGAGGACGACGAGGACGATGAGTACGACAAGGATGATCTGGAAGACTTGGAAGGTTACCTGCATGCTGTAGAGCGGCTTGCCGAGATGGCACCTCTAGTGTTTCCTGAGGAAACCGAAGACACAGCACTTCGACATATGGACCTGTCTTTGCGCAACATGATGGTAGATGAAAACAATCAGTTGTCCGGGATTATCGATTGGGAGTTCGCTTTGGCGGTGCCGCTTTGGGCCGCTACTGAGATACCGAAGTTTCTAGAAGGTAAAAAGTGCGATGAGAAGCCAGATCTCGATGAGTACGCGCCTCCTGAACCAGACGCAGAAGACAAAGATGGCCTGGATGACGAAGGAAAGTCTTCGCTGTACTGGGATGACTTGATGGATTATGAGATGACTCAGTTACGGAAGGTCTATAAGGACTATATGGCCGAACGACAGTGCCCTTCTGATGTTCACGAGAACGGCGGAGTCAAGAACGACTTCCTTGAGGCAATCGACGATTGCAGTATCGGGTGGGGCACTCGCCGAACTGAAGGTTGGCTTGATGAGATTGAAAAGGGGAACTTTGTTCGATTTCAAAAGGAAGGTTAGCTCAAGTTCACCCACATTGAGTTTATTTAGCCTACCTAAGCTTGAGCACACTCTTTGACCCAGCCTCAGTTCATAGCAGAATCTTTAGATTAGACGAATGATATAAAGTTTGCCGACGCAAATCTACATTTTGAAGCACCACGAGCTATCACAACATAATGGGAAGTGTGCTTTCATATCTTCAATTAATACAGAGAGAAAACGAGACGATTGCTTTGTTACGAGACTGTTTTCCTTTTTCCCTCCCCTAGTAGAGATATTCCTAGCCATCAATGTGAATAAGTCATTCCTCAGAAATCAAACGTCGCCTCGGGGACTTCTGCCATCGGTCTCATTTTCCACTCATCCTCCCGTAGTGAGAAAAACGAGAAAATTCCCGTGTAGTCAGACAAATGTGGGCATGCATCCAAAAGATCATCAACCTCCGCTTCCGATGGACTATAAGCCAGCTCAATATCCAAGGTTCTCAGCTTCTTCGCCTTCTTGCAGCTCTCCAGCACATGCGGAGCCACTTTGGCATTTTCCAGGCCAATATGGCGCAAGGTCGACGAGTGAGTGGTTATCATGTTTGCAATCGCGTCGTTCGTTTCCTCGTCTGTTTCGCCTTCTGACTCTTCTGCTGCTTCGTCTTGGGGTAAGTAGAGGCCCGCCAGCGTGATCTGTTGAAGTGGTGCTTTACTTTCAGCAATGGCCTGGATATCCTTCGAGCCAATCGTGCATGCTCGATCGAGGATGAGAGTCGTCAATGCTGTCATGTGCGGCATGATCTGGACTATCCAGTCCGACAACTCTACAACGCTCCGTACCTTCAACATTCGAAGTGTGGAACCCCAGTTCTTGCACGCTTGTTCGAGATCGCCTGTTAGCGTCAGGGTGCTCCAAAGCTTCAATTCTTGAAGGTTGCGGCACTGCATGGAGAAATCGGCGAGATCGTCGTAGTTGTAGATGAGAGATGTAACGTAGAGCGCGCGTCTTGGTTGGAGCCTTAAGCTATGTCGGAACTCGGCTGCTTTGTCCTCATCGAAGAAAGAGGGAGATTTCGAATACAGATACCCTTCTCCTATTCTATTGAACAGTTTGCATGAGTATACCTATTTAGGATTTTTGAAGGTCAGTCATCAATCAAGTCGAACAGCTTAAACCAACACAATTGCATGAATATACCGTACCAGTGCGAGCAGGGTGCGTTTTCGAGAGCTGTCGTCAAAGTCGTTGACCTGGCTGATGATCAGACAGTAGATCTCGTTGGGTAGCCGTGGGGGGGACCATCCTGTCCCTGTCGTAGCAGTTTTTGCCTCCATCGCGGGAGAAGGGTTGCTGCTGGGTGAAGGAATCAGAAGAATTGTCCTCTAAAGGTTAGGCTACAGAAATAAAGTCGCCTA